TCTCTCTCTCTCTCTCTCTCTCTCTCTCTCTCTCTCTCTCTTTCTCTCTTTCTCTCTTTCGATCAACAACTTTCTCGCTTATTCTTTTTTGTCTTCACCCTTTCCTTAACGATTATTATAATAAATTACAAAGCGAACATCTCGAGTATGCAACAGCGCGTTTTAGTCACTAATAAATGTTATGATGGCCGTGCACAATCTGAGCTTGTATAATTATTATACAATGCAACAGTAACAAACGAATAGCTCTTTAAAAATCCGAACTTTAACAAATTTTCTCTATAAAATTTTCCTCTCGAAACAATTTCTCTCTTTCTCTCTATATATCTATCTCTCTTTCTCTCTCTCTCTTTTTTTTCTTTTTATTTTGTTATTAAAAATGACCATTGCACGACGATGGCCATCATTGGATTCGCGAAGGGAATCCTCAACAATATAATCATTCGACGACGAATAAATAAAAAAATTGTTGTCCAATTATTATTATATCTATACAACAATTTATTTAAATTATTTCAATTAATAATTATTTGTACAAGATCAAATTGTGCTCGGTAGAATGGTAACATTTGCTTTGAGCAAAAGGCCGTTCGCGTTCTTGAATTTGAACCAGATATTCGTTTCTTGCTCGAATCGCAATTTCTCTCGATTATTTGTTGTAAATTCAAGAAAGCGTACGAACGTTTTCAAAGTTTTTCGAAGCTGCACAGTCTCGTCGTAATATCAACTGTGCTTGAAGAGCATCGGTAACATTCAGGGGGGGCCCAAGTTCGCTACAAGTTTCTTCTAAGCACGTGCGAGCGTTTTCGCACATTCGCAGCCTTCGTTTTGTCAAATCGATTCAACACAACGATTTCAAATATTATTGGTCAGATTCGATTTTTCTCCAATAAATTTATGATATTACAAAAAATAAATTCGAACGGGAAATTAAAAATTAAATAAAGCGAATATTCTAATAATACGGGGGGAACAATTGAAAAAAAGTATCTCTTATAATTTTTTTTTTACATTTCTTTACATCGATGAAAGAATTCTTAAATTAATACAAGATCGATCGAGACGAAACGGACTGAACTAAAAATATAAAACGAACGTGTTTCTATTTATACCTATATATATATATATC